GGAAATTCCACGGATATTCCTCTATGTAAGCGGCAGCAGCAGGACTGGGGGGTCCAGTGGGTGGGACGTGGCTCCTGTGCTCCTTGAAATTGCCAACCCCTAGTTTAAATGCCTTTTTCTCAGAAAGGGGTTACACCTGTTTTCTTTGCGACAATCTTTCTGAACAGAACCCCTTAATTAAAGCATATCACATCAAGCAAGGTCTCTTCCCAAGTACAATTTTAGGGTGCTTCTAGTTCAGTTTTATTGCCCCTTCTTCCTCTCTCACTTACAACATTTTACAGGGGTTCAAACTTCGTGGTCTTCCAGCTATAACCCCCCACCGCTTTCCTGATACTTATTCTATATTTTTGAAACTGTGGGAAATTCTTGAAAGGTGTGGTTGCTGCACTATGGATCCTGGTGGCACCTGAGCCCCTCCTTCCACAGCAGGGCAAACGGCCAAGTCTGTCGCTCTGGCACGTGTGGAGGTGCAGTCTCTGCTCTTCATCTGAGTCTTGGCTGTGTGAGTCTTCTGAAGACGGGAGGAATAGGGTGGTGGCCCTTGCCTTCTGCCTTCCCTTGCATGCCCATAATCCTCCAAGTTCAGAGACTACAGGCAACCACACTGGGTCGTGCTATCAGTCACCCTCCCTCAGCCAGGTGCCCTGCAGATGTTTTGGATGGCAGCACCCAGCATTCCTGACTGTTGCCCATGCTGGCTGCCATACAAAACATTGGGGCAGGGGAAGACCAGGAGAGATTGCATTCAGTTCTTGTGCTGTACAAGCAAATTTGTGAGTGTGACATTGCATTTCCACCAATGTCCCATCTCTCCATTAGGAATACCTTGATCCGGTTCAGTCTGTTCACCTGTCCGACCGTGTAATGTCAACTTTGTTTGGCACTGGTCTCAGGCAGAGAAAAATTTTCTCTTGCGCCCTGCTCCTTATAACAGCAGATGCCGGGGCTCTGGGACCATTTTCATACAAAGAGTGAAATCTACCACTGAGTTATGATCACCACCACCTTGCAAAAAGGTGTGTGTGTGTGTGGGGGGGGGGTCATTTTGCCACAGATAGGAAAGGAAACTTTAGCTTTGCAATGTACAACACGCTTTATGAACAGAAAGGGCACCCCAGAGTGAGCATGCTTCCCACACTAAAGGCACAGAAAGCCTTACCAGTATCTCCAGTGCACCTGCTCAATCCTCTTTTCTGAAATGCTGCTCGCAACCACTGCCTATGAAAGACCCTTCTTCCTTCTCAGTCTGCCTGTCCCTCTCTCTGCTACATTGTCTGATTTCCAGTCCCTTCCTGCTTAGAACCCAGGGCCAGTGGAGTTTTGGGGCCCCCGGAGCCTTGTTAGCAGATGCAATAGTTGCATCTTGCCATCTATCCAAAGCCAGTTGCTATGGCACTAGCTTCCCTGGGGCGGGCTGGTAAGAAAGGGATGGAAAGCAAAGCTGGTCGTAAGGATGAGTGCTCAGTCGTTTTCGTTTTTCTTTCATGGCATTTAAAAGAGAGACCAACAAAAAAAGAAAAAAGGCTTGCTGTGCACGGAAAGGGGGCAGTGCTGGCCAGGAGGCGGCATGCAGGTACAATGCATGTGCTCATGCATGACTGTGCTGCCTGAGGATGATAGGAACTGCAGTTCCACACATCTGGAGGGCCCCAGGTTGGGGAAGCCTGTTTTGGAATGGCAGTGGAGGTCCCTCTTCAGGATGATAGTAGCCTTCGGGGGAGATGAACCTCTGTCAGTTCCGGGAGAATGGATGTGGCATGGGAGGGATAGAACAGGAATTAGCAAGCCAATAGTTGTTACTGCAGAATTGGGCTGTGTCTTTCTTTTCAAAGAAGATTGACTGCTGGTGAGGGCCCACGGCAGGCAGTGAGCCTATGGCAAATGTCCCTGGCTTTGCTTTTCACCAGCACAATGTTGAACTGCATGGTGAGAGGCTCCACGCCATTGCTTGAGTCTTGCTCACTTAGAAACTATCTGCAAATGACCTCTCCATATGGAGCACAGCCTCCTGGAGGCCCAGGCAACAGAGCCCTGTGAAAGACAGGACAAAGCAGGGCTCCGTTTGCCACTGTCAGATGAGAAGCTCAGGAGCACGCATCGAACATGCTCTCGCACACATGCCCTGCTTGGGACCTTCCATTGGCATCTGGCCAACCTGTGAGAAAAGGACACGGGGCTGGACAGACATTTGGCTTGCTCCAGCAAGGCTCCTATATACTTTTAAGCATTTGACCAGATAAAAAATTCACACCTTGCGAGGAGACACTCTGCTTTACATTTTCAGAGAATGCATGGAATCTTGACTTCCGTATGTTCAGCTGAAGTTGTGATCAGCACCCCGATACACAGCACCCCCCACTACTTGAGGGGCCACAGCTCTCACATCTTGTGCACGGGAGTTCAGTTCCTGGCATTGCTACTGATCAGCACTGACCGTGTTGGGCTAGATGGACCAAGGGTCTGACTCTTCTGTGTGCTCTACACAGCAGAGCCGGGAGCAGTGAGGGGCCCGTTGCATAACTTTAAAGCAGCAAAAGCTACTTTTCATCCCTACCTGCAGGGAAGAATCACGAAATGAAACAGGGAAGAATTATCTCAATGCAATGCCCAGGAGAATTAGGCAGGCTTGTTATTTATTCCCTTCCGGGCTCAGGATGGCTTTGCTGCTGTGCTTCCCTGGAGCAGCCCTTCTCCAGAAAGATCCCTGTGCAACTTGTGGCTCATGCAGACCATCCCTTTGCCTAAGGAGATTGCTGTGCAGGGCGGGTGGATAACTCTGCACAGGCCCTGGGAGACTCTTTGCCATCCTTAACAGAAGGAACCTTATCAAGCCTCCATGAGCAGTCTTAGGCAAGTTTTTCCGTTGTTCAACTTGCCCTGTCACATTCCTCTAACTAGCCTCCGGCACACACGGTGTACATACGTATTCAAGGTGGGGAGGGCTGAATGGTGCTTGCTTAGTGTCTGCTCTGGGGATCTGTTGCTGCACTAGAGTGCATCTTAGACATGTCAGGCAGTCCAAGCTGCAGTCCAAGCCATTTGGCGGGCACCAGGCTGAGGAAGCCTGGTTTCGAACAAGCTCCAAGCAAGAAGCCATTTATTGGCTTGTTCAGCCCCCTCCCCATGATCAGGCTGAAATCCATCCAGGCACTAGAGAGTTTCAAGCGGACATCAGCCATAATTCATCAACCTACAATCCACCGCCCACCCACATGGCAGCTGCTGCACAGCAATTATCCAAATGGATATTAATTGCAGATGATAATTCCCAAGCAGGGATCAAAACTAAAAGCTCCACGCAGAGCAGATTGGTCTGGGGGAGGTCCAAGGCAGATATGCAGCAGGACATGATGTAAACATGCCTTCCACGGCTCTTGGGGTCTCGACCCCTTTCATCGCACAACTAGTAGGCAGCAGCCAGGCTGCAGGCAAGCAACAGTTGGTTAGCGCAAGTTTCTAAGAACGTCCAAGATCTTCGAGGAAGGTGAAATCCAGCAGACACAAAGAAAGACCACTTCACATAGCAGCCAAACCTCCCTTAAATCTGAGTACCCACACCAGGGTGTTGCAGTCAAGTCTGCTCACTCCTAACCTTTGAACATGCACACAAAAATGCAACATGTGAAACACACCCTTTAAAAAATCCATAATATAGCTCCCATGTTGGTTTATGCTATATGCAGCAAACACACTGTGTTATACTGGGGACACAAACAACACAGAATGTAGATAACATGCCTGTATCTTTACATACATTTCTGTAAGGGTACGTGCAGATATATATCTGGCCAGGGCGGCTTGTTTTATATTGTATGTTTTATATCGTATATTTGTATGTTATTTTAATGTATATATTTTAAAATGTTATTTTAATTTATTGTAAGCCGCCCCGAGGCTTCGGCGAATGGGGCGGCATAAAAATGTTTTCATAAATAAATAAATAAATAAATAAAATAAAATATTGTGTCATTCACACTTTGTGCTGTGTACCACTAGCATACATGAAGAGTGCAGCCACCCTCAGACACCTCTGGAACGTTGGAGCCTCTCCATCTGCAGTGATGAAAATGAGAATATGGTTCTCTCCTTATTGGGCCTTTTTAGACCTAAGACTAACCCATGGCTTGACAAGACTGTTATCCCCCCCACTTCCTCCTGTGGCACAAGAAGTTCCAAAGTATGTTCTCCCGCTCTTAAATGAACCAGAGTTCTCCATTACATCTAAACTTGAGTTTAAATCATGGTTTGTTTAAGCCAGGGTCAAGCCATTTTCTCCTGGCTTGGTCACTCATCAGAGTCCACCATGTTTAGATGGGAAAGGACATGCTTGAAGCTTCCACTTTTAAAGTAACCTTAGGAAAGGTGGGGGAACACCTGTCACAGTAAACCATGACTTAGTGGTAAGTCTGAACTGGTCATGCTGTATGGCGGGAAAGGGTGACAAACAGAAAACCACGCTGCCCTACACCTGCACTGTGCATGCACTGCCCCTCTCTGCACATGCGCATGAGAGAGGGAAAGTGTGTCAGGATCTGCAGTGATACAGCAGCCCCTGGTGGCCTGATGCAGAAGGCAGCCTGGTCCACACTGTAAGTACTTGCAGGATGAGGGACCGCGCAGTCATGAAGGCCAGGTGATTGCCATGGAAGGCAGCTGCCTCACGTTTCTGATTTGACTGCTGCCCCTGGTCCTGCCTATCTTGACCCCTGCCTGGCCCTGCCAGGCCTTGCCGAGTGTCCGATTTTTGCTTGCTTGCAACTCCGCCTACATGTCTGGTCCTGCTGGGCTGCCGCCTGTTCCTGACTCTGCATTCGGTTGCAGCTCTACAGTGCCTTGCCTGGTCCTGGTGCTCCAGTTGAGGACACCTGCTGCTCGCATTCCAAGCTGCTGGAGAACATGTGGTGTCCATGCACTCCCTTGAGATACCATTTTGGGTTTGCGCTACTGCCCAAGTGTCAAACCTTGACTTTCCGGTATGAAGTAGGCTATGCAGGCAGTTTGAATATGCACATTTATTTCAAAAGCTCTGGGGTTCTTCAGCAGACCTGTATGGTTCACACGCAAATGGTACACACCACTTTCTGTACACACATCTTCCCTGATCTGTTAAAGTCAGCAACCCCCTCACCGTGTACCACATGTCGGTACATGTGCTAGGCTTGCGGCACTGACCAGCTGCCTAGGAATGGCTCCGGCTCCTGAGGTTTCATATGTCCTCCCCAGAGAATTGGGAGGTGGATGGTCTGGAAAACTCTTTTTCACACCGCAAACAAAAGATGATCTTTCAGTGAGCAATTACCTTTGCAAGGAAGAAAAAAAAAAATACAGACGGCTGCAATGCAGCTCATTCCCTGCAAATACCCCTTAAGAGAGCAATCAGTGGCTTAGGCTTATTGGTCGGATACTCGTCTGCCACTCTTCTCCCATAATTTATAGGGGGCGGAGGAGAGAAAATAAAGTGCAACCAGAAACCCCACCAAGGGAGAGACAGGGGACCTGTAACAGGACAAATGACCCCTTGTTTGCATCCGTGACATTAGACAGGGCTGCCCAATGTCGGGCTCATTTCGTGAGAGCCAGCTGAGGAATGGGCCAGGCCAAGGGCAAGTCTTAAAGGAACAGGAGCGGAGACAGGTAGCTGAAAGCCATCTTGTTGGGAAGAACTTCCTTGGGATAGATAAATAGTACTGCTGCCAGCAAGTCTCTTAGGATCAGGGATGCTCTTAGGTCTTCAGCGGAGTCTGCTCAGTCAGATTGCGCACATCTTCCAGGAACTGCTTGGGAGTCAGGATGTGGGATGAGCCTGTGCAGTAGAGAGGAAAGGTTGGCAGGGCTATCTGAGCACATGGGAGCACTGCCCATCCCTGCGCAGTCACAAGCAAAATCTTTGCAGCTTCAGAGCAGGCCATGCTGGTCACGGACAGCTGGCTTCGCCTTGGACCAGCAGCACACCAGCACACTTACCGATCAGCACCTCCCACTTCCCGTCAGTGGCCTCCGTAACTTCATAGGCACAGCGCATCTCGGACATGGTAACGCCGCCCAGCACGTACAAGATGAGGCGTGGTCCTGTCCGGTACTCCGTTGCTGTCTTGGTCTTGTGCCAGTGGCCAAAACGTGCACTGCTGGAGAGATGCACATGTGGGCAGCATGGGGGGCAGTGGGGGGGGGCAGGTACACGAAGAGGGCCGAGGACAAGCAGTCCAGAACAGAATGGATTCCCTCCAGGCTGAGCATGCCGCTCTCAGCAAGGTGGGTTCCCTCCCACATAACCTCAGCCCAGAACAAGTGAGGCCAGGGCCAGCCTGGGACATTGGGGAGCCTGACCTGAAGGACGCTTGTCCTGCTCCACTGTGAAAGGGAGCGCCCTGCACCTTCCCGGAGGGCAGCAGGCGAGCTCAGGGCTGTAGAGGGTGAGCTGCAGCCTGTACTGCTCTGTCCTACCAGCGCTTTGCTGGCATTCTGCCCTTGGGGCGACTGCCGCTTCACTCTGCTTCACGGGGGGCTGGCCCTGGGCAACGCGTTGGCCCAGGTTGTGTTTATGTACTGAAGAGAAAGGGAAGCTTGCAAAGAACTTCTACAAAGATAACATCGACAGCAAATGAAAGGCAGAAAGGGCAGCATGTGCAAATAGCACTGACCCAGAGCAAGTCTTTCAGGGGCCCCTCTGTTGTTTTTACCTCTTGTAATCAGCCCAGTGTTGTATCTGGGCATTACAGAGCGACAAGGATTGACCTGACAGAACCTCGAGGAAAGCATCCTCGAAGCAGCTCAGGGATGCTGAGGAGCTGCCCTTGCACCCCCACGCAATTGCTCCAAACGTGTGCGGCACCATCACTCTTGCTGCCCCAGTGCCTGGAGAAAGGTCAGCCCCGCCCTTTCTTCTGCAGTGGCTCAAGTGAGGCTTCCACATTATTGGGAACATGCTTTTAATCAGGAGCAGACTTGACAGCGTTCGCCAGTATGGCTCCGGAGGGGATCAAGTGTCTTCGCACACAGATAGGTTTCCTCATGACCGGGGCTAACTTGGTTTAGACATTTCTGGCCTTGCTCCCAAATTGCCCTGAATTAGAGAATACAGCTGCCGAATGGATTCCTCTATTCTGTTCCCATCCTACGCACCCCGTAAAGGACAAGACTGGGGCAAACCCCTGGAGCACAGAAGCCATCATGGACTCCGTGTGTATGTGTGTGGGGTGGGGTTGGAGAAGTAGGCATCCCAAACTCCTGCCCCCTGTACTCACCTCACAGTATTTTGTGAACAGGGGCCTGGGGCTGCACAAGACACGAAAGGCCACAACTTCTTATCCAGCTTGTCCTCAATCGCATCCTGTGCAAACATGAGCAAAGGGAGAAAGATGGCTCTGTGATTCTTCTAGCAATAAATGCTGGCACAGGCCCCCCAACACTTAAAGACAAATGAAAGGAAAGCAGCTTGAGGAAGAAAAGGTGAACGCAGAGGGAGGCAAGTGTGGAATCCACCAGGGGTGCCCACAGTATGTAAGCAGCGGCCATGGGGCAGATAATGAACAAAACACGTTGAGCCGTCTCAGCGGAGTCATCCTCCATATCCAGATACCGGGCCATGCCAGACTCATCTGCTGCTCTCACATCTCTCCTCTGAGGGGCAGGTGCTGGTGGAACTTCTCAGCTTCTGGCCCTTAACTCACAACTGTATCTCACTTACCCACCCATTCCCAGGACAAACCACTGCACAGCTAGCTGCTCCGCGGCAGGCAAGCGGCCTGTCCGACAGGCCAAGGCTATATGACAACACAGAAATGCTTCATATTAGGGACTTTCAAATTAATCTGTTGACTTTTTATGGCAGGAGCTTAATGTTTTGTGCTGCCTGGCTCCCAAGCTGCATGGGAGTTGGCTGGGGTGGGTGATGAGCGAAAGGCTCCCTTGATTGGATTAACTACTGGACTGAAGCTGGGTCAGTAGCCTGTTCCAAAACCCTCAAGGAGGGCAGTACCGAGAGGAAAAGTCAGCATAACAGGATCCATGCCAGCGGGGCAGGCTGGCCCACGTGAAGGAATACAAGCTATGCACATGCACACAAATTCCTGTCCTGCCCTGTGACGCAGAGAGGCCGTAGCACAAGCTAAACGAGCTCATACCTAGAAAAGTGGCACAGGGAAGCCGCAGAACAAGACAGAAACAGAAGAGCAGCCACAATCTCGGATCAGAGCTTGGGGGCTGGGAATGAGATGAGAGAGCAAGTCCCAAATACAGGCCAAGCTTAGTACTTGTGCTGACCAGAAGAAAGGACAATTTAAAGGGCCAGGGGGCTTCAGCCGGACTGCAGGCCCTGCCTTAGGGTGCACTTCCAATGGTTCCAGTTCAGTGGGCAGCTCAGTGGATCAAAACCCTGCCAAACAGGCAAGCAGGGCATTCCAGTGCAGAGAAGGATCTCCTGCCATTCTAGGGGGGCAGCACGGGGTGTGCCATCAACCCATACAACGGGTGACTCGGTCTGCGTGGGAAGGAGGAGCCATGCCTGGTACTGGCACATGCCTGCCTCCACATGGCTGCTCCACTGCCCAACTGGGAGCATGAAACCCTTCGAAATGCTGATGGCCACCGATACTCACCCAGGTTTGTACGTACTGAGCAGCTTCACTTCGGATGGGGCTGCTCTTATACAATGCTTTGCCCTCCAAGATAGATGCTCTTCATGGTAGGTTCTGCAGCAGCCGGCACAAAGTTAACCTCTCCTCTGCCCCACACTTACCTCCATGACATCCTTAAGAACGGGGATCCATCGGGAGAGCTGGTAAGTAGGCTCCAATCGCACTTTCCTCGCAGGTTTCATGTGCCCCCCAGTGTCCTGTGAGCAGAGGAACCAGTAAATTACACAGAGGAGAGCTGGAGAAAGCGATAAGGAGGGGGAAAGGGAGCGGGAGGGAAAGAGAGGAAAGAGCTTTGGGAATCTGAGAAGTCTGCAGAGCGATGGGATGCCTTACCTAAGTGGCTCCGGCTGGTCAGGCCAAACAGATAGGCAAGAGGGAAAGAACAGAGAGTTCATTGAGCAGCGTGCATGTGAGAGATGCAGACGCAGAAGTACAGACAGAGGAACTGCTGTATCCCCTCCTCCCTCCAAGGAGCCACCTTAATCTACAGGAAATTCAGATGTTTCTCCTTTACAGGCTGCCAAGAATGGCCATTCATTCCACTCTTTCCTCCGAGGGAGCACACACGATCCTCCCCCGCTCCTCACAGCAATGCTGTGAGGCCAAGTGTCAGTGCCTGGTCCAATGTCCCCCACGGAGCGTCATGGCTGAGTGGGGATGCACTCCTGGGTCCCCCCAGTCTCAGCCCGCCCCACTAACAACCGCTCCCCACCAGCTGCCAACCAGCCGCCGTGAGGATCCACACGGCAGCTGATCCGGCTGCAGCGGCCACCGCCCAGGCATTCGCTGCCCAGGGTGGCGAGGCAGGCGCGAGGACCACGTACCTCCGGCATGATGGTGGCACCGAGGCAGTGCATGTTGTAGAGGATGTCCCTCTCCTGCTGTACGTTGGCATGCTGGATGAGCTTGGTGAGGTTCTCCTCGTTGATGCCTGCACAGGCAGAACACAGTGGAGACTTTGCTACTCCGGGACGCTCAGACCTGCTTTGCACGTAGCATCAACCCTTCATTTAAAAAATGGAAAGCTGCCTGCAGGATGCCCATCTCTTCTGCTTGATCTAGCAACCTACGTTTTGCTCCCGCTGGCTCTAATGTTCACAGCCAGACTGCTGGCTGTTTAGCGTTAACCCCTGGCTAGTTGTTGGAGTAAGTGCTGAGCGGGGTAAAGCAGAAGAGGTGGGTATGCTGCAGGCAGCCCGGCTGCACTTGCCTGATAACTCATCAGTTTTTGGAAAGGAGGGCTGTCCTTGCATAAAACAGCCCATGGACCTGGCCTCTGGTCACCAGAGCACCTCCCCCAAACAGCTGTGCACATCGATCCGCTACTCATGGAAAGGCAGAGAGGGAGCCACACGTTTCAGCGCCTGAGACAAAGCTATCGCTGTTCCCATGAGTTCCCATAACCATAGCTCAACTCTGCTCAGCTCAAGAACAGAGAGGCTCAAACCGGGTGAGGCTCCTGGGGAAAGTGGCTGGTGGAGGGGAGAAAGGGGCACCAGGCTACAGGACATCAGCCCTGCCTTTCTCCCTTTGCGAGGACCAGGTTAGGACCCGAGCCCCAGCAGCTGATGGATGTGGCTAAGGAGTACCGTTCTGGAGGAGGATGCAAAGTAGGATGATGCGAATCTTATCCAATGCCTCCACGCTGGTATCCAGGACAATCGGCACGATAGACTTCATTGGGTTTTTTATTTTCTCCCCTTCAACATCTGCACCTGTGGCTAGGTCCTGGGAGGAAGGAACAGCAACAGCTACAACCAGAAATTCCTCTCCTCTCCTCTCCCAAGGTGTTCGCCAAGCAGCAGCCAGCCAGCCAGCCAGCCAAGAGCAGAGAGCACATGGCTATGCATACGCTTGGCCTGAATGGGACCCCAGGCTTGCTGCTGCTCCCATCTCCCGGCAATCCCAGCAAGCTCACCTGCTCCACGCTGCACAGCTTCTCCACTGTGCCCTTGAAGGCATTCATGCAGTCTTCTGCCAGGTGCAGATGTGTAGAATACTGCAAGACAGAGGAGGAGGGTGGGCACTGACTGCCACTGGCTCATTAGGCCCCCTTAAGCAATCCCCTCCCTCCTTCCCTCCCTCCCTCCCAGTATGCCCTTCCCAACCCGGACAAAGAGTGAGTGGCAAGTCATAACCTGAGGTGTTCCTAGAGAAGTCCCAGAGTAGGTACAGATGACCTTTTCAGCCACCCTTGGCTTAAAGTTGCCAGGGTGGGCAACTAATAACTGAGCATAGCCGGGTCCTCAGCTGCCAGCTCCTCCTCTTTCTCCCCGCATCCTCTGACCAGAATCCTGGGGGACACCATGCAGGAGCACGGAGGAGAGCAGGGTGGCAGGGGCCAAGCGCGGGCTGTTTCAGCCACTGCCGTCAGCTTCCCCACCTTGCTCTCCTGTGAATGCTGGCACAGCAGGGCTGCTCATGAGCAATCCTGTCCTCCTGGAGTCTGCAGCAGCACAAGGCAGGGGACCTGGAGTGGCGTGAAGGAGGAAATGGCCTCCTCCAGCTGGGCTCCGAAGCCCTTCCTTCCCCGCTGCACCACTGTGGTGCTCTGCAGCTGAGCAGCAGTGGGGCGTGGAGGGGCAGGCACTGACAGCAGAACTGCCCCCCCACCCCAGCCTAACTCCTACTGGTGAGCTGGGCAGGGTAGACATGAATGTGGAGAGCTGACAGCTACATTGGCTCCTGGTTCAGCTCTGGAGCAGGAGCCAGGCTGCAGGGAGGGTGAATTCTGCAGTCCCCTGCTCTTGGTTCACATGGTGGCCCCAGGAGTGATGGGAAGGGAGGCGTTGCCCCTGCCCTGTTCCCCCCTCTCCTCAGCCAGGAGAGAGGGAAACAGGGAGGTGGGGAGCTGAGCCACTCGGCTTGCCCTCCTCTTCCACTACTGCCATGGTGGCAGTTGCACAGGAGCAAGACTGGCAGCTTGTTCTGCTGCCACAAGCCAGCATGCTGCAGATCCTGGTGGCTCCCCCAACCCCTGCAAAGGCCAGTAGGGGTAGGGAAACTGACAACAGCCATGCAAAGGGCCGCCTGTCATCTGCTAGAGCCCCTTATTCTGCTTCTGCTTGTCAGGGCATTGATCCCGGCCCTGAAAATGCTACTGAGTATCCTTTATAGCTTTGGAGTGTTCATCAAAAGGGCTAAAAACCTGACTACTCAAGACCGGCTGATGAAAGACTTGGGTGCTGAATTATGTGAGCATGAAAAAATGCTTTGCTTGTTCTGTTCTTGCATGCAACTAGCAGCGCTGTTCCACACGACACACAGCAGACTGGCTCTTGATACGAGAGGAGGGACTGCATGCTTTCCATAGGGAATAACCCACAGTTCAGCTTCTGGCAGACTAATGCCCCCAAGCAAACAAAGATGCAAAGGATGGGAGATCCTGGGGGATTTGCTGGCAACTACCCAGAGGAAGAATGGTTCCAAGCCACAGCACTGCACTATTGTGCTCACTATGGGCATCAAGGTGGGGAAAAGGCATTATGCCAATGGCTAACTCACATCAACGAGTATGAACTACTCCATCTCATATACTCCCCCACAGCTTCTTAGTGCAGATTCAACTTTAAACTTCTGAGCTTGCATACTTGTCTCCCCAAGGAAGAAGCAGCCCAAACATGAACCCCAAGTGCTGACTGCGAGCTTTGGAGCTCTATATCGAGTTTGGGACCCGATTATCTTAAGGGGTGCTGCTTCCCCTATGAACTGGCCTGCTGTGGTCATCTGGGCTTTGCCCCCTGTCCCTCTGCCATTCAAGGTATGGCTGGTGGGGACACCAAGCTATGGAATTTGAGGCTCTCTTTCAGCCTTTTGCAGCCATGTAAAAAGTAAACAAAACAATGATTTCAAAATGTGCTGTTACTGTTTATAATCTACACTCCTGTGGCTGTTTTCATTGTTTTAAATGAGTTGAAGCTGTCTTGAGGGCCACAGGGTAGGAAGTGTGGGGGAACAGATATTCAAACAAACAAAACAGCATGTGAGCCTGAACTCCTTTACCTTGTGAAGTTCCTTCTGGTACTGGGGCATCTTCCTCAGGATCTGAGAGAGGTCCTTAATGTTGGCCTGGAACAAGGCCAAGACCAGGCAGTATTAGAGATGGAGCGCATAAGCAACTACTTCTCCAGTCTTTCTTATCCTAAAAGATCTGCAGGCTGGTGGATCCTTCTCCGTTAAAACCTCTCCAAGCTCAAAATCCCTGGAGAAGCCAACAACGCTCAAGATGCTCCATTAAACTGAAGTAGAAAACTCTGCCCATTATTACCACGAATGACTCCATCCTGCTCTGCCACTCTCCTGACTGAAGGCTTTCACAGTGGGAAAGTTTTTGCTGCACTGCCAAGAGCATCTGTGGGGATTTTCCCCCTCCAGAGGCTCCTGGATTCTGTCAGCCCCAGCCAGCACAGCCAATGGCCAAGAATAAAGGAGTCCGGCAACATTTGGAGGGGCACAAACTTCCTGCTCCTCACCTATAGGCTCCCCATTTCCATGCATCTAAGCGCACTACCCACACAAATAATCTTTATATGCTTCCAGGGCTAGGCCTAGTTAATCACCCCCTCACCCCGTGCTGTTTCTCCTAAGCCAGGCTCCCCCAGTATCCTTGCTCCCACTGCAAAGAAGGGCCACTTTGGGAAAGGTACTCCCACACGCAGAAAGGACATAGCACAGCTGTACTGCTTGAGCGTAGCAGGTCTGGTCCTGTCACTGCCCAGAGGAAGAACAGATCGGAGTACAAGAAATAAGTCTCTGCCCAGCAGCCTCACCTTGTCTGTGGTGAGTCTCTTGCTCTCACAGAAAGTACGCAGGAGCTCAGTCACTTTCCTGTGGAAGGAAGTCACAATCAGGGCCTTGGCTCAGAACTCAAGCCAAGTGACAGGCATTCAGCTCCCCAGCCCTGAAACTCCCAGCCCTCAACAAGCCATAGCTCTCCAGGCCGCCTGCAAAGGCCAAGGCACCCTGCTGCGGAAAGGATCTTAATGCTGGAATGTGGGCCGGCCTGGAAAGTGAGGCTACAGCTTCCAAAACTGTTGATCTAAACATATTATGGATGCATCACATTTGGGAATGGGAGAGCTAGATGTGCACGTGCAAATGCACACATGTGCATGCCCGCGCGCGCACACACTCTCGCTAATTGGACAGGTTCTCACTTGGACACGTCAGCAATGTGCATGTGGCGCAGCAGCACCCACAGGTCGTCATCTTCATCCAGAAGCACCACCTTTTCTTTGGAGTTGCTGATGCCTGTGGATTCATATCTGGAGGAGTTGAGAAAAGGCAAGTGAAAAAGCATTCCTAAGTCCCACTTCGCAGCGGCCATCTCAGTGGGGAAGCAGCACCCTCCCTGCTTCCCCAGATTTCCCCCTTGCCTGCACAGCCCTCACCGGTAAGTATCACTCTCAATGTTGAGCAGGTCATAGGCCATGGCTTGGAAGGTGAGCTCATGCAGAAGTGGGGACACCAAGTCACAGCTCCGGTCCACAATCAGAAGCTGAGAGCGACATTTGTCAGGGCCCTGAGAGCAGCAAAGAAGGGAAAGGAAAGGGGGAAAGGGATGATGGTTATTTCCTCATTTCGGTGAACCCTGCACATTGACGGTGCTGCTGCTGGTAGGATACAATCCTGTATTTTGAGGGTGTTGAAAATCTTCCAGAGCAGCTATAAAATTCAATCTCAGAGAAGCTTTAAGAAGCCAGTTTGCAGTGGCAGGTGGAACTGAAAATAAAGAGGGTGAGGATGAAGTGCCAGCACATTTTGGTTTACAATAACAGATCTTTAGAAGTGGAATTTAAGTCTTTTAGAATGGGGAAACCTGCAGAAAAAGCAAAAGACTACCAAGTAGTGGGCTGTTGAAGGAATGTATATAGAAACCTGAACGTTCCTGGAGGGCAGAAGTAGAACCCAAGAAGGGCCAAATTTGGGTGAATTACTGCACCCTTGCTTATCCGGAGCTAAGTCTCATTGAAGTAAGTGGGACTGAAATTGTGAGCACTGTTGTTTAAGGCCAGCACAGCTCCAGGCACCAAGGAAGACAAAGGAAGGGCAGCAGCATGCTTAGGTTCTGCAGGGTCTCTCCCCTCTGCGTCTGCCTGCCCCCTGCAAACAGGCCTGCTGCAGAAGCTACCTGCCGCGAGTGGCCTCTCCAGCACGCTTGTGGGCGGGGCATGGCCAGAAATGCAAGCGAGCAGCTACGCAAACTTTCATTCCGCCCGACTGCACACAATCGCATTAGGAGAGATGGCTCACTAGCTCAGAGCGAAACAGCATGTCACTGCGGTCCATTTGCCAAAAGCCCTCTAGGATTTGTTTGCACAAGGGGACCCTGCTGGTAAGCTTCTGGGATACCTACTAGTGGCCAGCCTGGGCAAAGCCAAGATGACAGCAGGGAGGGTGGACACAGCACATCATTGCTGTGCTGTCTCAACAATGAGGGACAATGGGAAGCTGGAGTGCCGGGGAGACCACTGGGACAACACGCCAGCTAACATCAGTGCTCGGTTCAGGAAACCCTCTGCTCGGTGAATGCAGCAGCAACAGCAGCGCGGAAGAGACCACGCTCCTAAATGGCATAGTTCACACAGTGACTATGAGCACTGAGCCTCATTTCGCAGCAGTGCTCAGAGGTGGTCAGGAGGAGGCCAGGAATGGCTTTTCGGCTGTTCCTGCAAGCAGATGGTGCAGTGCAGCCTTTGGCCAGCAGATGGCAGTACAAACATGGAGCCATGCCCTATGGAAGTGGGTGCTCTTCTCAGGTGAATCCAGGAGCACTGCAGGGAGATGGGCATTTTGGGTGCTTTCAGTGCAGTCAAGGAAAGGCACCTGTCTTCCGAAGTCACACTGCCTGCTTGATTGCTCGCGGAAGACACATCCATGGGCTTCAGCAAGAGCAACTGCCTGAAGCCCTTGAGTACTGAAATGGCTGCTTAAGTAGCTGAGTCAAGCAACTAACTTTATCTCACAATATTTTTGAGGAGGGCAGCTGTGGGGATGGTGCTGCTGCTATTCCTCCTCCTCTTTTTGCTACCTGCAAACTTTCTATAGCCATTCCAAAAGCAAAATTAGCCACATGGTCTTCCTAAAGCAACCCACCAGAGGAGATATTGTTGCTGGCCATGGATACCAACTCCCTTTCCCTGAGAAAGAATCACTGCTTACTAGCAGATATGTTTTTAAAAATTACTGCCTGCAAAGAGCATTGCTCAAGAATACTCTTTTTCAACCTTCCATCTTTCAAATGTTGAGCACAACTCCCATCAGCCCCAGACAGCTGAATCTCAGTGGTGATGGGAGCTGTAGTCCAAAACTTTTGAAGACTGCTGGACTGAGGGAGGAGGATAGAGAACAGGGTTTGGGGCTGAGAAAGTGGCTCTGCTAGTGTTGTGGGAACTGGTTGGTGTCTGTGACCTCAGCTTCAGCTGGGGCACGAGTCCCTCTTCTCCTACCCTGCAGAGTTTTGGAATTACCATAGTGATTAAAATTAACATGCTGGCCATCATCTCCGTTAACATGCATTCTCCAGCAAAGTTCTTTTAGGGGAACAGGAATATCTCCTGTGAAGAGCAACTAATGCAACCAGTAAGGCCAGGCCTGCCACCTTCTCATTTCCTGGAGTCTGGGATATTGTTTCAAAAGCTACAGCACAGTCAGAAGCTTAAGCAAAAACCAAAGGAAAGTTCCCTGTCTGGAGATGATCTTAGACAGAATATCCTGGTTTTCTGACAAGGAAGACCAGTAAGATGTAATGTCTGATTTACAAAACAGATGATGCATGAGCGACAGGTGAAGTCTCCTGACACTTTGCTCTGTCCTGTTTTTAAGACCAAGATGTAGCAGTGGGAAGCTATGAGTGTGATCAGAGAAGCGGCAGAGATGCACAAAAGTATCTGCCTTAAGCCTTTCCCTGAAGCCTTTTTTTTCAACATCTGCCTCTTTAAGTTCTTTCCCACCCACTGGGAGAAAGCAGTTTCTGGAAGTAGAAAGGCTTTTGATTTCATAGAAGGTAAAAAGGATTCTGACAAGTGGAAAGGCTATAGAAAAGGACCTAATGCACACACATTTGTCGATGCTTCCCACTGCTGCAATCAAGTCCATAGCCTCCCACTGATACATTTCCTTTTTTTAAAATACATTTAACAAGACACTGGTAGACTGATGTCAGAGTGTAGGACATGGAATAATCCGTTCAAGTTGAGACAACCCAGATTCAGGCTGGACATCAGGAAAAGTTCCCTCACTGTCAGAGCGATATGACAGTGGAACCAGCTGCCCAGAGAGGCAGTGGGTTCTCCCACACTAGAGACATTCGGAAAGAAACTAGACAGCCATCTGAGTGGGATGGTGCAACCTGGTGTCCTGCAAAGGCAGGGGGCTGGACCCAATGGCCTTCATGGCCCCTTCCAACTCTACTGTTCCATGATTCTACGATTCTATGACTATTCACACACTGTCCCGAATCATCAAGTTTGGTCCTCAGTATAAGTTGAAACGTGACTTGCTGAGCACCAGTGAGCACTAGGCAGTATCTGCAGAGCCCTTCCATGGACAGCCTTCATAAAAAGCGCATATTGTGGGTGTTTGGCAGGACATCCTGGCACTCATTTAAATGAAATAAGCTAGTGGAAAAGACACTTTCCCAGGCGTTTTCTCTCTTCAGGAGCCAAGGGCCTAGATATGACCAGCCTCCATACCCAACTATCCATTCCTATCTTTGTCATTAAGTTGGAGGCTAGTCATTCTTATCCCAGCACAGCTAACATAACGAGCTGATTGTTTTTCATCCTGGCTTGAAGGAAGATCACTTCTGCATTCTTCTGCACACCAAGGGAGTTTCCCCCAGAGTTCTTCTGGAGTCATTGCACTCGTGCTTTGCTCGCAAAACTTCCACTGCAGGGAGCTTCCAAGATGATGCCAGAGCAGGTGGCTTTGCAAAACCCAGGAAATCCACTGCAGCCTAGTGAAACTCTAGGGTTGCTCACCTCTCCCATGGTGGGGTTGTCTGCTTTGAAGGCATTCAGCTTGGCCAACACTGCATGGGCCAACAAGCAGCAGTCTTCAGAGCCACTACAATAAAGAAACAGGAGGCTGTTTAGTTGCTGCACCTCCAGCACTGGTCACCTCCCGACCCGTCGCACTCCTAGGTAAGCATCCTGGTCCTCATCCTCATCTTACAGTGGGCACCCTAATAGCTGACCAGGGTGGCCAACCCTGTAGTGCTCAAATCTGCAGTGTCGCTGCAGACACCCCCTGGTTTACTGTTGGACATCTTTTCATCACACAAAGGGCATACAAGCAATTTCCCACTGGACCCGGTGAAAGCCTCTCTCCCCACCTTCCTGGGACAGTGTCATGGTTCATTATGCCTCCATTCACACCACATCCTCTTTTCATAGGAAGTTACCCGCCCCTCCTACCCCTCCCTCTCCTCATTGTGTGGAGAATGTGCAGCACGAACTTCCGATAGCGAATCGAGGGGTATTCCTTCAGAGTGTCGCATAGTGTGGCAATCTGCTCTGCCATCCTCTCCAGCTGATTGTTCTTGTCCTCCTTGCAGTACGGACTGAAGAGATTGTGGAAGCTCTCTGGCTTGTCCAAGGAGTACACCTGGGGGTGGCGGGGAGAGGGTAGGAAAAAGGAAAAGAACATGAAACTACCTTGAAGTCTTTTGCAACAACATATCAGAAAATCATGGGGGTTGTCAGACAAAATGCAAAACATGGAAGCGGTCGGAGACCTGTTTTCCCCTGTGGAGGAGGGCAGGATGCATTTCAATGGAGCAAAGCTCAGGGAACCAAGTTCAGTTTGGATGCCAGGAAGCACTTCCTGACAGTTAGGGCCCCCAGGGTATGGAATGGGCTCCCATGGGAGGTGGCTGAAGCCCCATTGGTGAGGGTGTTCTAGGACAAGCTGGGCATGCACATGGTGGACATGTCATGAGCCCATGAGGCGGCTGGAGCTGGGGGTCAGACTAGATGACCCAGGAGACCCCTTCTGACTCGCTCTCTTTCTATGTTTCTTTATTTCCAGAGATAGCTTACTCCAGGCCACTGTCCTGCAAGCAAGTGTCAATGGGTGTAAGCCCAACAGGGCATCTCCTAGGTACTGTATATTCAATCACTCTGTCAACAGCCACTTCACTAAGGTCATCCCACCACTTTCACTGGGGTGGAAGCTAATGATTATTTGTGAACTGTGGATTGGCAACATTTCATTAAGTGCTGCCTGTTTCTTGGCTTGGAGAAGCCTATAATTTGCCTAACGTACTGAGGTTTGTTCTACTTCTAAGGAAGTTTCTAATTAGCCATATCTCTGCCTGCTCATTGGGACCCTCTTCATCACTTGTAAGGGGACTACCTAGTACGAGACAGACTAAATTAGCTGCTTGTTTGAGGTACTAAGAGTAGTAATAGTCCAGCAGGTGCAAGACAGTTTGGTGGAAAGTTTGCCAGACAAAAGTAGGAAGAATCAACTGCTGAAACGCAGTTCCATTTTGTTTGTAAGCTTTTGACTCCTAGTTCATTATTTTAACAATAAACAATTTGCCAGGAGTCAATTTTTCAGAAGAAACAAAGTCAAATCCTGCAGCCAAGTACTTGAGAACAAACTAAGACTTGCTTCATTTACAGCAGAAGTGAATAACCAGGTTTGCAGGATCATGGAAGGAGAAAGAAGCCAGGCATGTGTCCGTTGCTTGTCAGGGGAATTAGCATAATTACCCTCAGCAGCACAGCTCATTGTGTCATGTGAATCTGTCCAGGAGGACCTGTTGCCATGGCTAATAAGCCACCCAGATCTGTACAACCGGCATTATGCAATTCTTCTCTCCAGTATGTGACCAGCACATGCATGGATGGGGTGGAGGGCAAATAACCACTGTGGCTTCTTTCCCCTCTAGGATCAGGCAAACCAGGCAAGTATCACGGGCAAATCTGACTAACTTTATGGACAAGAGAAGGTTGTAAAGAGTTTCGCAGAGGAACACAAACCTGAGCCTTTTAGCCCATGGGTGAGAAATCCGTGTTCTTCCAGATGTTGTTGGACTGGCCATGCTGGCTGGGGCGGCTACAAGCTGGAATTCCACAATGTCTGGAGGGCCTCAGGCTGCCCACCTTTGCTCTAGCTTGCCTGTACACTAATAGCACTTACTACAGAACTGTGAAAAAGCTTCCTGACCCTTCTTCAGCAACTGCCTGGTAGCTGAGCCTATGCTTTGAGAGCTGGCTCAGTTGAGGGCACGTCAGAGAGAAGGACTGCAGCCCTAAGTTATTTAATAAGGGCGAGGGTATAACTACAAGGAAGAGTCATGGTGCATTACACATTCATACATATGTGCACACACACGCTCCTACACAGCAAAGTCCTATAATGGTTTGCAAGATGCACACAGGCCTCCTGCTCAAATTTTGTATGATCATTACAGAAATTCTCTGCTGCTTTCCTCCCATAAGGACTTCTGCAGTAGTGGACTGTGGTTTTTAGCAGCAGCAATATCCGTCATGCAAAATTATGCTAAGACCCTTCCAGTCTTACCACCTGTGGGGTCTGGTCAAAGGAAAAAATAGCCTGCACCCTGCGCTCAGCTTTCTTCTCACCTGTGACTCATAGGGAAGAAAAGCCACATTGATTTCCTTGAGTGTCTTGATGGCTTTGGTGATTCTTGATTTGCCAAGCTCATTAAAGAGGTGCTCAGGGCAGGCTGAAAGTCAAGGCAAACAGGCAGTGTTATGCTGCATTCTCCTCACAAGTGCCCCCCACCCCCACCACATACCTAACCTGCTACACGGTAAATTTTTTATGGGAAAAGGACTACACTGAAAAGATACCACAATGGGAAACAAAGGATTCCAGCTTGACATGCTATCTCAGAGCCTGGGGTCACAGTGAGCACTACTGGTCAGGCTCTCCTGCTTCCCAGTCCTGTCCAGACAACCTGTGAAAAGTTCTTGAAAGTTCCCCCACAAAAAACCCACAAGAGGGGCTTAGTAATCAAACCTCCTGCTCTTCAAACAGAAACATTTCCTCACCAAGTCACATGATACTGGAGGGTCTGGACAGGTTTGGGAATAATTCTAGATTCACATTCTCTTTGGGGCCAACACCCATAAAATTGTGCAACTGGTATCTTAAGCAACTGCATAAAGGGATAGCCTGTGTTTGGAGCCACAACCGAAGATCTGTGGGTAGAACCTCATTTACGGCACTGTGGACTACAGAGTGGCTAAGTATCTACCTCCGTGAAAAGATACCTGCCCAGAGAGCCATCTTGGCTGAAGGAGTGGGATGTAAATAGAACAAATAAGCAAACAAACAGAGACTGATACCCAAGTCACATATCTCAGTGGGATTATGGCGTATCCTAATATCTCAACCCTCTTACTTTCTGGAGTAGGGATGGACAACTTACTGCATTCCAGATGTTTTGGCCTGTAACTCCATTGGCCTTGGCCAGGATGGCTAATGATGTGGGATGATGACCATTAGCAGCAAAATCATCCAGAGGGCCAGAAGTTGCCCACTCCTGCCACATGATACGCCGTACATGCCCTTCTTATCTACCCAGGAACAAACCTTGGACTTACTTTCAGTAAAGAACACGTGGGCAGCCTTGTATGTGAAGGTGGGAGAGCCTTTGAAGTCATTTATCAGAGCATGCACTGACTGTAGAGGGAAAAGTGTTCGTTAGCAGCAGCTAATACCCATACCTGAACTACTGTCCCTACTCGAGTTTCTGCCTCTAGTTTCCTTTTCTTGGCCTCATAGACAGTGAATAGCCCAGTCAAACTAGGATTCCTTTATCATACAGAGTTCTGGGAGGAATAGGCTCCCCTATGGGAATTACGTAAAACCCGAGGGGCTCCAGGAAGCAGCACCAAATGGCATTCACCCCCAGTCCCCTCACAGCCCTTCCTACCAGTTTTCTCCTTCCCAAGGAGCTGGCAGAGAGCTACACCAGGGATAAGATGTAGTCTCAAAAGAGCCATGCCGGGACATGGGCAACTGGGGAGATACCACCAGATTTTTCTTCTGCCATCAAGTGCTATTTAGAGGTTCTCACCAGTTCAGTGTCTCTCCAAGGATGCAGTGATTAAGAACCTACCGTGTCAATGGGGCTGATCAAATAGATTGCTTCCAGGCTGGGAAGAGGTTCTCGGCGCTTGTTAATATCTTCGATAACTGAAGAAAGTAAATGCGTATCAGATGTCAGATGTCATTGGGAAAGAATGCAGTAGGATAATTCGTAAGGGCTACACTGGGCTTCGTTATGAAGACGGCAATAAAGAAATATAAGGACTAAATACAGGCCATGAGCTCAAAGATGCCAAAAGAAGCAAATTGCAAATCAGTTAGGTTGGCACTATCAGCAACCCGCAGATCCATCTGAGCTTGGACTGACATATTATCACTCATGGGAATCAAAGGGAGACATACTGTCAGAGAGACTATGGAAGCATCTTTCACTGCAATGCGAGCCTCTTCTCACAAGAATAAACAGAGCACAAGAGGATGTTGTTGAAGTCACTCACTTGTGATCCCTTCAGCCAATAGATCTGACATCTTAAAACAGGATGAGAGAATGCGTGTGCTGGAATGATCCATAATAAGCACCTGCAGGATTGAAGTGAAATGTGGACATGAAGAAGAGCTGATGGTTTAAGAAGCAACCATTTTTAACTTAGGAGAGCCCAAGCACTAAAAAATGCTTACATCACTAAAAGACAGCATGGAAGACTCAACATTTTTAGTCCTTCACCCATCCCAGCTCTTTCTATGTGCTAGAATTATAAAGTCAATTATTAAGCCTGTATTAAGCCAGTTCCATTACAAGGCATTAGACGCTTTCCAGAACTGAGCAGATAGAACTTAAAGAACTGTATCCCTTTTCATTTCTTACTCCACCTATTTTTATGTGAGCCCAAGATTAGCTAATATGGAGGTGTTTAGGTTTAGGCTCAAACTCCATTCCCCAAAGCATTGGCTATGAAATACTGGAAGATAAACTTTGCTTATAAAAGATGTGTTAGTTAGAATTTACAAGATTCTAAAGATAGGCATGCTGTAAATTTTTATTACTGTGTTATAACTTCAGGGTTATGGGAGAGCCACAGAGGGTGTTCTCAGAACTCAACTCCCTAATGTGGGGGCAGGGAACTCCCAAATCTACTTCTCAATCTAACCTATTTTTTCAGTTAGTATCAGCTAGTTTTTTTCTTCTTGTTCACACACTCCCTTTCCTTCTCATAGATGCAACCTAGAAAAACAACAATGTATAGAATGTCCCACAATTACCATTAAAAAAAAAAACTTTTTGGGGAAGATTAAGAAAAGTCAAGGGAGTTAGCATTAGATAAGCCACAGTAAACCCTTGTAAAACCAGTGAAGCAAAGCTAATTCCAAAGACTCTTTGGCCTGTCTGCAACCACTAATTTCATGGATGACCTGGCATGTACCTTTCTAATGTCAGCACATATGGGAATCTCTATGAACTGCCAAAATGAGAGATGTGAAAGGCCTAATGAACACATGCCTCATATAACTGCACCCTGGTATAATCACAAATACCCTGTGGCTAGGTTATCTTTATGCATAACAGAAAACGGTGAAGAAATAGATTTTTTATTAATGGGCTAGATAAATGTCTGTAAGTTATATGAAATCTATGGACTATGTACAGCTCATCTCACATACAGAGCATGACAACTCACCTTCCATTCTCCTTCTTTCTTCATACTTCGAATGACATCATTCAGGATCTCTGAAAGGTGAAGGAGAGCTCTAGGTTAATAATGTGGTACCTTCTACTGCAGTCAGAATAAATGGTTGATTCCTGTGTCAGGTAAACGACGCCTCTTGCCACCCTGTGTAGGCATCTTCGGAATGCTCCAGTAAGCCAAGTCTATCTTTATTGTTTACAATAAAACAATTATTTTTATTGTCTCTTGTTTATTGGTTTTGGGTGCAGAAGAAAGTTGTGGAACAGTGAAGCCTTGCTGAAGTATCAGATTCAGGTTATTTGAAAAGCTACCTATGTGGACCTACTTAGAAACATAGAAACAGAGCGAGTCAGAAGGGGCCTCCCGGGCCATCTAGTCTGACCCCAGGCTCCAGCCGGCTCCGCTCATGACATGCCCACTTGGATACTACTTGGATACTGTTACCTCCCAAATATACCTGCTTGGATCTCAAGATCATCTTCATAGGCCACTCTCCAGGTACCCCTAACAAATCAAGTGAAGCAGGTGTTACCATAGACAGGGGTGGCATCCTGGTTATGCAATGCCCTCTTAGATGGGACATTCACCTGTTGCCTATATTGTAGGCTTTTCCAGTATGAGGTGGAGATCTTTTTATTTCTCAAGTTCTTCAGTCTCCATAATCTAAAGGTTCAGATGAAAATGTTTTTGTGCCTTCGCATGTTTGCACTTCTTGTAACCTCTCTTTGGCTTCTTATCTTGGATTTATTCTGATGCTGGTTGAGATGTATTGTTTCATAATTTATGCTTCTAACTTTTACTCTGAACCATCCAGAGGACTTTTAAAATGGGCAGCATACAAATAATGGAAAGAAATAATTCACCAGGGGCTTGATGACAGATATACTACACCCCACTGTCTGGAGGTTACCCTGGACCTTTTTAATGTTCATGCCTCCAATATAAAATGTTACCCCCTCATCCAGTGTCCTATTTTTCATGATTTAAGCAATATTTTTAGATGGGTTTTCAGCTGCCTTTAAAGAGTAAGTGCTATTTTAAACTGTTTTATTGCTGTTTTAACAGTACTTGGTGAGCTACCTTGAAAATATTTTATTGAAAGGTGGAAAAGAAATCTGCTTTAATAGGACAATTCCCATAATATGACGTTACCATTTTAAGGATATAACACAAGTCAAGCAACTGGACTGTTATGGATTGATATAGATTCTACTCTTTAATCTGAACAGGATATGCATTCACTGCCTTTCCTTAATCAGTAACTCAAAAACCTATTAAAACCAGAAGGATCTCTGGCAACAACCCAGGAACAGTTAGTGTTGTTTGCTTCTCCAAACACGGTGCTTTGGGGATGGAGGTGGGAGAGAAATTGGGCTCACTGCATGGATTGTTTAATGGCAACAATGATCACAAACCAGGAAGCTCACTACTTTCCAGAGAGGATGGGCAAAGTTGATGGAGAGCCACCAGTGGCGAGAACTGCAAGCCCAATACACCTTTGATTGTACTCCAGCCCTCCCTCGCAGCCCAATTAATCTATTACTGCCAATGGCCATGCTGGCTTGAGACAATGACAGCATTGTCTGGGAGGACCAGGCTGGCAAAGGCTGAGGTTGGGACATGACGATTTAAAAGCAAAACAGAGGTTAAAACAGAATGGTCAAAGTACTCTAGCAACCTCTGTGTGGTAAGTGCTTCTGACAGACAAAAGCTGAGGTAAATAATTCTCTGGGAAAAGCAATGACCTACTGAGTAGGGAAGCAGCTTGCACAAAATGACAGAAAACAAAAATCCATACTCTTCTGCAAGCTTCAGTTCTCTAATTTCCTATAAAGAACTCTCCAGAATGACCAGAGCCAAGATCAGAAACCCCGCCTCCCTCTTTCTACTCAGCCCTGTAGTCTTTCCCCAGGACTGGGACAAGATCCAAGGGCCCTGTCTCCTAAACTCACTCCAATCTTCAAAAATGGACACATGGTGGACATTTCCTGTGGATTAACAGAAAGCTCCTTCTGTGGAAGCTCCTACATTCCAGCTCAATTGCTTGACCTGAAATGCCCAGATAATTGATGATTTATTGAAAATCTACATGCAAAACTGAACTAGTGGATGGGAATGAGATGAAGCATTCTACGTCAACCATTTCAGTAACGGAGAGCCAGTGTGGTATAGTGGTTAACAGACTGGGACAGAGGAGACAGTATAACTTAGTGTCTTGTAATAGCAGAGGATTGGACCTGATGGCCTTCTGGCCCCTTCCAACTCTACTATTCCATGTTTCGCCACTCAGCTATGAAGCCCACTGGGTGACTTTGGGCCAGTTACAGCCCCTCTGCCTAATCTACTTCATGGAGTTTTTGTTTTGGTGATGGAGGAGAACTTTTTAAACTTCTCAGGGTTCCTTGCAAGAGGAAGGCAGGCAGGCAGGATATATGTGCAATGGAAGAAGAAAAAGAAGTATAAAGAGTTTATCTATGATTCTGAGTCAGACATGGAAACAGACTAATCAGCAGACAGCAACTTGGTGGAGGATAAAGTTGAAGAACCTTAACACTAAAGTACTTATTTCTTGGTTTCATGTGAACTATTGTCACATGCTAATTAAGAGTACTACCTTGTTTGCAGCTACTTGATACTCATGGTGCTTTACATATCTAAAATACCCAGCCCAAAACCACACACATGCATGCATGCATGCATGCAAAATAACAGGACAGGCAGAATTGAAAAGAACTGGTTATACTTGTTCAAATGGTAGAGATTATGACTACAGAATGTGAAGCATTCAGTAAAACCAGCAGCTGAGACAAGGGGAAAACGCTTTGGAGGAATCTGGCTTTGAGATCCCAGAGCTTTGACAGAACAACAGTGGAAACAATTCAGAGGCATTGGGGGAAACCAAGTCAGATAGAGCATGGATAGACCCCGCCACATTACCATAGAAGCAGCAAAGCAGCTGGATCTGAAGTAGAGATGGATAAAACTGCAATGTACAGAACTGGAATCAAAGCTGGAGTCAGGCTTTCTTTAGCAAATCTTCAGCATACCGGAAAAACCACTCAGCCTGGAATAAGGAAGTCTTGTGTTCAAGTAGCAGCTCAGCCATGAGCTCCCCAGACCTCTTAATCACACTACGAATTACAAATGTACAGTCTGATACAATGTGGTGATAATAATGCAGCGACTCTGTAACATGGGTGAGCAACGCTTACTGAGCCAGGATGTTTGGAGTGTTTTTTATAACTCTTAGGCACTCTATAAAAGTTATGCCATTATCCAGAAGAGCTAGAGCGGATGCTGGGCCAGTGCTGCTGAGGCCTCAGTCAGCGCCCAGAGCTCCCGGGCATAAGGAACGTGGTCCTGCAGCCAGCAAGGCAGTGACAGGCTCCCTGCTCATTGCAGGCCTCCAGAGTCATGTTGCAGCCATCTACAACTGGGGCACAAGAGCGCATAGAGGCCTCCAGGCAAAAGCCTAATTTGATGCTGGCTCTGCAAGGCCCTGTTAGAATTCTGGTCCTCAGATGCATATTTCGAGGAGGAGGAGGCCACAGCAATCAAAAGCTTGAAAGGGAGAGCCTGTGCAGAAGGCCACAGCGGATGATGAGTGGCAGGGATGACAGATATGGCTGACAGACAGACAGAGACGGGAGAGGGAGAGGGAGAAAGGCTGGGAATGCTTCCACAACACACCAAGCCACCCTGTAAGCAACCGTGTGGGTTTTTCACAACCCACGGTGCAACCAACAAAAGATCAGGCTTTCTATGGATACCTGTGACTCTCCCACAGCCCAGCCTTCCAAATGGTTCCTGCACGTACCCCAGGCACCTGTGGCAGAATCAGCATCCCTCAGTCCTTTGCTACCTCACCACCTCAGCAGCCTTTTTACTATTTCTCCACTGTGTGTTTGTGGCATGGTTTCCTTTGCTTGCTCCAGCTGCAAAATGTTCCCTTCTTCCCAATGAATACTGCGATCTGCCTGCATTTCTAATTAAACTTGTACAGCTGTTCATGTCCTTCTGAGTTTTTTATTAGTGCACGGCTATCTGTGCCTGCCCACGCTGCTTGTTTTGTTCTTTTTCTTCCCCCTCTGCTCTCTGAAGCATCTCTCGGTCTTGAGAGAGATCCCTCCCTGCCCCACTCTCTGACTCCTTGGGTACCAGTTTGTGTTACAGCTGCAGAGATTGTCAAATGGGTATTTATAGCTTCCTCCCAAGTTGCTGACCTGGATACTCGATTGAAGGGAAACGGTGGTGGCTTATCACCCACCCAGTGGTGTCATTTTCAGCCCCTGGTCCAGGTAGCTCAGGGCTGTCCTGCAGGAGCCTCTTGATTTTCAGATGTTGTGCAGGATGCAGCAACTGATGGTCACAACTGGTGATAGGACTTCCTTCACAACTAGAAGTGCGGAGAGTGTGGCAAAAAGTGCGCTCTTGAGGGAGCCTGGTAGAGCTGTGGTAGTAACATTTTTCTGTCTGGCTTCTCCTTGGAACTCAGTATGGTGCCATAAGCCATGACTGAAGCACAAAGACCTCTGAGAATGAGCAGTGTGTAGAGTTAAAGAATCTGCCCATGGCTAGTTTGGCTGCCAATGGCAAGCTCCAGCCAATGGCAAGCTCCAGGTAGCCATGTCACGACTTCACTCAGAAAACCCTGTGTAAGCATCCAGAAATCTCCCTTTAGAAAATAAAAGCACCTGGAGGAATATGCTGTAAAAGCACAAACTGTTGCACAACGTCCCAGCTTGCTCAGGAAAAGCTGTCATGTACACTTGCAAAAAATATCCAGTTCACAGAAAACTCACAAGTTCTCTCTTTTGTCCATACTTTTATAACATCAGCAAAGCACAGTTCATTCAGAGCACACACCATCTCTGAAGATTTCACGCTCAGCAAACTTCCCTATTCCAAAGGCAGAGCTAAGTGGGAGTATCCAATGTTGAAAGCAAATTTGTACAAAGTTAGTCCAAACCGGTTTTTAAAGCTGATATAGGTTTCTGCATTACCTTGCTCAAATGAGGGATTATAAACCTGGTTTCCGATG